GACAGAAATGAAGCAAAGAAAAACCCAACCTTCTTCAAAGAAGAGTACCTTTACAAAGGTAATCAGCTCCTTGAATAAAATTCATTGTTAGTGTTTAAACAAAAATTCAAGAACCCCAACTTGAAGGATGATGTAATGGGAAAGGCAAAATTGTTCCTTCTAAGAAATCTTTAATCTAGAATGAGAGCAGTTTCAGCAAATGCTGTCACAATTTTTCAAGGACAAATCATCCTACTGCCTCGATTTTCCATGTAAAATGGGAAGCACCAAATAACTCTAAGCCACGAGAGCTTTTCTAACTATTTTATAATAGCTGTTTATAGCACGTATACTCTGACAACACTATGTTAAAAATTCAGGGTGGGGGGGGGGAAATGGGAGGGGGAAGGAGGAAAAAATCTGACTCTAGGATCATTTTGACTGAGCCTATCAGCACTCTTAGGTTTCAGGATAGTCTTATATCACTTTAAAGATTTGTTATCTGTGACACTTTATGAATAAAGTTTGGAAATGCTTGTTTGATTTTTTTTTTTCCTAAGTCCCGCATTTTTGATTCTAGCTGACCAAGAAAGGGTTTGCATTCAAACTTTTGAGACCTCCAAAATATCTGAAGGTATTTTCAGAAATAAGCATTGGTGTCAGAAGGCCTAATAATTTTAGGGAAATATGTTTTGGCACCTGAATTCTTGTATGAAAAACAAAGATGTGGTTTCAAGTTTATTTCTTTTGACAAGCTGTAGCCATACAACTCTGAAAAAAGACAGCCAACACTACTTTTTTATTACTAGAACCTGTATTTCTATCTTAGATTGGTAATTGACACCAACATCTTATTTCTATAAATCTTCTGTCACCTACCATTACTAGGGCTGTGATCTATTACCAGGAATGTGATCCGAACATAAATTTTTAACAGTTTTCTTTAGAGAATTTTGTGCAGATTTTTTTAGAAGATGAGTTCCAAGCACACAATTCTCCTGCTTCAAGTAACTGACTCATGGAATACAGTCTCAGGTCGCTACAGGACAACTTCCTGCTAAAAAAGTTAAAGTTTGTCCTACTCTCTTGTCCATGAAGAGAAGAGCTTCTTTTTTTCCAGAGGTTTAAAGTGTTTGAGAGATACATGAAGCTTTTTAGAAAATGAATAGGCACTGTGGAAGTTTAAGTCGGTGAATTATTCAGATTCTCCTCATGTTTGAAATGATTTTTTTCTATTTCCGTGTAGCTATTGCTGCTTAGAAGTGAGGTTTGCTACAGGGTGACTAGCTCCACAGTTCAGACAGCTTCTGTCCTCTAAGTCATCAATTCCCAAGATAGTCTTTGCAGATTGCTGACATAGCACACCACAAATAGACTACACTATCCTTAATAAACACTAATGACTGTTTCACAAGAAAGTCATTCAAACATCACTGATAAAGCTTCCTTCTTCAACTAATACTCAATGTTATACTGGAAATTAATATTAAGGAATAATTTAGAATTAATATCATAACAAAAATCTTATTGAAGCCACCTTTTAAACCATTCAAGATAATAATTCTGAATTACTTTTCAAAAATTAAAATGAAGCCTTAACCATGAATGCAGATAGCTCCCAATGAATCCCACACCTCTTGACCAGGTTAAAGGATTAGACTCCCAAATCAGTAAGCAGGCATTGTCTCCTCTTCTCTTACTCTCCTCCCAAGCATGTAAATAATCTTTCTTGAGCAGGCTGGTAGCATTAAATTGTTATTATGTACTCCAACACATCAAAGACTCAAGTCTGCATAGAACACTCCTCTAAACTAATAACTGTCTGATCCTGTAGCACTTAAAGGAAGGGTCTCAACTGATGTCAGTAGGTATTTGAAGTGCAACCATTTGTTTTGTTTCAACATGGATCTAGTAACATAAATGAAGTCTTTAGCTTCTTGGCAACATAAGCTTACAGATTTCACCTACTTCAGCATTCAGTATGTATATAAAATATACTACAAGACTACTTACAGCACAGATCAAGAGCCTGGCAAGTCAGCTAAGAGACTGTTGTAATTTAGAGGGTTGGATTAAGACACCCTCCAAACCTTGGGAAGCACATTTAAGTTGCTCCCAAGCTTAAGAACTAAACATTTTTTTTTTTACAAATCTATAACTTTTGTGGGAAAGAACACATTATTTAGAAAATAATGTGGGAAAGAACATTATTTAGAAGTTGAAATAGTCATATTTTGTCAGTAAAAAAATGCTCTGGATCAATGACACACACCTGTACATTTTTACATACATGATACTTTATCCTTCCAAACTTGCTTTGCAGTAAGTATCTTTGACAGTATGTGAAAGTCTAGTCTCTCTTACAAGCTCCATTCATTAAATAGAAAGGCATAGTGGAATAAAACTTCAGTCCTGAGCTTTTTCAACAACTTAACAGAAAAAAGTTATTAAAAATTTAGCTGGAATGGTTGATAATCAGCACTTCAAACACTCAAAGGCTAATGTATCTCCAAATAGAGAAGCTATGTTTGGACAAAATATAATCAATTTCAGCAAGCCTAGTGCAAGATGAAAGCAGATGGCCTAACAAATTATTAATACAGAAGAAACCATTTTTCTCCAACAAAAATGAAACAAGGAACATGTGCATCTCATCCAGGGAAGACTGCATTCCAGCTTTCTGCTAGGGCCAACTGATCAATAAACAGTTATCTTGGCTCAAAAGAACTTACATCAACAGTCTGTCATTTTAAATAGGCATGTGTTAAAAAGCAGCCTCGCTTCAGTGTTTGTCGCTTGGACAATCTGAAACACTGGCTATTTCCATGTTTTTATTAACTGCAGTAATTGGAGATCAGAACTGCAAAAAGGATCTGAAGTATGCTGGCATTCCACTCAGGTTGGTAACAAAGCAAAAGGAGTCTGAGACAATTAGCTACATTTGAGAAGGGTCAGATTGTTGCTGCTTTTTTAGTGTTTTGGAGTGAGGGCTGGTTGTTTGTTTTTAAAGCCTAATTCTGGTGTATAGCAAATAAGCAAGGATAGATCAGAAACTAGTTCATAAAGATTTTCTAAGATATATGGATCTCTCCTCTGACTGGAGAGAACAACAATAATCTCTAGTTCTCAGTCTTGCCTTGAGTTCAGTATTTTCTTCTCAAGTCAATAAATCTTGGATAAATTCTATTAAACCATTTTTGTTATCTCACTGAAAAACAGATTTAAACTCGATTTTTACCACATGCTAACAGGCTTTTTCTACTATCTACATGAAAGGTATTCACAATACCTGAGACTTTTCTTCTCCTACTACGATTTTTCCAAGTTCAAGAATTTCCAGATTTATTACTAAGCAACTTTAATAAAAGCAGTATTTTCTGTATCAGAGTTACAACACGAAAGCACCCGGTACCTTGGTATAGAATAGACTTCTGAAGTGCTGTGAACACAAGATATTTTAAAAACATAGTTCAATTAGATAACCTTGCAGTTTGTTTTTTAAAAATTTGCCAGGAGTAAGAATTGAGATATTTCAAAGAAATTAGGGATTTCCATTACTGCCACTGTCGAACTTGTACATTTAATTGCTAACCTGCTTTTTCCTAATTAAAACTATGCCCAAGAGCAAGCTTAATCTGTTCTTTCTTTACTAATTATATTTCCATCAAGCATTTTGTAGGAGTACTAAAGTTTTCTGTTCATAACTTATTTGCTTTGAGTGACAGAAAAGAGATATACACATCAGGCTGAAAACCAAACACAAATCTGTCTCTACTATGAGATGCTTTGTTAAGGACCGGTGTTTCAAAGGGGCTTCAAACAGCCTTTGTTTGATGAAGATACACTTCTTAGGCTCTCTATAAGCACATAGCCTGTACAATCATGGCAAAGAAGGCATAACTGATGATGCAGGGTAAGTAAAAGGTGTGATAAAAACGTAGTCACCCTATTTCATTAAAACATACTGACCAATTGAAAATTTAACTGTAATAGTTCACCTGTTTTGCTCCAGAACAGCTCTACAAGAATTTTCACTAGTATAAACTAATCTGAAGTACAAGTGCTTTCATTTCTTACAAACTTTTCTACATATCCTTCAGAGAAAATACTTGAGATGATAGACAACCTGATTATAAATAAAGAATAAGCATCATCAACATGACCCCATTTTGATACTAAAGCTAAACAGCATATTTTAGCATATACTCAAGTCTATTAAGCTCTTTCTTCAAAATTATAAAGTTTCTCACTAGTGCTGGTAGGAAACAAAAAGTTAAAATAAATAAAAATAGCACAAATGGGTATGGTCAACCTAGAGTTTAATTGAAAGCATACTAAAACCAACACAGAATAAGCTAAACACTAATTTGCTAAAAACCCTCACAGATGAAAAAGCCCAGGAACCAAAAGGTAACGATCTACATTACCACGTCTTAAGGTTACTTCCTATTTGTATTTTTGTGCCCAAAACAGGAAAGACTGGCTGCACCACAGATGAAAACTTGTTCAGCAGACAGACCTCATGCTGCACCAACAGCATTCTCTATTGGCCCTTTCAAATGTGATTGAAAGAGAAAGAATTTCAGTCTGCCTGTGGATGAACTCACAGTGACAATACCTAAAATGCAGGAAAAAAAACCTGATGGAGATTCCCCAGGAGCTTATCCATAGGTGTGGAATGGAAGGAGTGTATAAGATTGCATTTTTTTTTTTTACTGTTTTTACATAATTTATAATACTTTAAACACTGGTCTCATAAATATAATATGAACACTTTACACATGCCAAGCAATTAAAAGCTTTCCCCAAAAACTTTTACGTCTTATCAGAACCACTGGCAGCATCTGTTTACAGCATCTGGTTTTAGTCAGTAACTTAATTTAGTCAGAACTACAACTAGGTTTTCTTCAACCAACATCTTAATATTAAAAAAACTTGTAGGAACAAAGAGATGCCTATAAGCATATCAGTTTGCCTTAAAGTGATTAAAGTCAGCATGAAAAAAAAGATTGTCTGTGGTTTATGATCTGTTGCTTGTGTCCCCACCCCTGGCGCATGTTGTCTTTAAATAAAAAGTGCAAATGAAACTTGGGGACTGGAGGGACTGATTTTGTCTTCAGTTGCTTATTCTGTAGCCACCTCACATCACCATCCAACCTCCCACTGTAGTTTGGATTAACTACAATTAAATTTAAAATAAGGCTCACTGAAGAAAAGGAAGAAACGACATCTAACTTCAAGAATCCTCCCACCCCTAAGTCCCACAAAAAGTGCTCATTTCCCTTTTTACAAAAACCCCCAAATCTTGATTACAAAACTGTTAAACATTTCAGTTCTACCATCCATACCATATAGTCACCTTCCTTTTAAGCAAGGCCAAAAAAGTGATGATGGATTCCCTTTGAATGCAAGAGATACTACACTTTTTGTAAGTAAACAGGCTGACATTACGATTGCAGTCTTTTCTGCGAGTGTACAGATGTCAGATGAAGTGGTCCATTTTTTTGTGAGACCTCGGGTGTATGAACACCAGCAGATAAAGATCTAAGACTGATAATATAAACCCATGGTGAACTATCAACTTCCAAGACCACCTACTGTATAAACAAGTCTGATTTTTCTAAGGGACCAGTCAACAGCAGCTGCGCTTTGTCACCGATGGCTGTCTTCTAAGTTTGAAGCCCTTACCACTAGATGGGGGGTTGGTGTCAGTTGATGGAATTCTGCGACCTACAAGGAGGAAGAAAAAAAAAATTATAACAAACATTATACTTGAAACTAATTCTAAGCATTCACTGTATGTTCTGTATACAAAAATGTGTCTTCAGTTAGTCATATGTCATTAATGACAACATTGCTGCATAACAGAAGAACAGCAGTTAACAGTTTATACCATGTCTGTAAGAAATATGGTTGCACAAAAGAAGAGTAGAGGCAGTTTTAAGCTAATTTTGCAGTGTTTATGCTAATCTAGACTTGGAGAGCTAAACTATAAAAGCACCCAGAGAATATACTCTGTAGGATCCAACATCATCTGGAATACCTTCATTGAGAACTATCATCTTGACTTGTATTCCCACAGTAGATCATCTGCATCAGGCTTAGCAGAGAAGTGCTTGTAAAGATAGCTGCTTTGGTCATCTTATCAGTCTTTAAAATTGACTATTCCTGGTTGAGTACTCTTTTCTGAGAAGGATTTATGATTTTTTTTTTTTTTTTCATAGTTTATTCAAGATCAGTTTTAGAGAACAACTATTAAGTCAGTAACTGAGGAAGCTAATCTACAGCACATACTTTTTACACCAGCTTCAATATATTCAATTGCTTATAAGGACCCTGTCTGGGGTTTGTTCTTTTTTTCTTTCCCCTTTCCAAGTTTAATGTTTCTGTAGTTATTTAAAGCTAAACTGCAGTGTGCACACACACAAGTGGATTGCTGTTTTTGTTCTTCACAAACAGGCTAACATACCTGAACGTTGATGCTGCTGCCTGAAACATATTCTGCAAATATTGCATGGAATTGACTCTGGAATACTGTCTGCTTTTCTTTTACACAAAAAAATTGTAATTGTTGTCCCCATTATGAATCAGATAGAAAAGAGTTGCAATTTAATTAAAAAAAACCCAAAGTATCACAAAATAATTGTGGAAAATCTACACACAATAGTTGCTATTTCCTAGGCAGTAATCTGGCATTTATGAATTCTAGTATTTTTGAAAATGCACTGTTTTAGACTAAGTACAAACACTAAAAGCGAGAACTTAATTCCTTTTGTCAGCTGTATAAAGTTTGGATCTTCCTCATGCCATTTACTTTCCCTTCCATAACCTTGAAAGTGCTAATTAAAACATTCAATAACAGATACAGTAAGATGACACTGATTTCTGACATGAGTGCCCTGCTTGCTATTTACCCAGCAGCATCACACTAGGCTCAAAATCTCTAGAAGGAATATTTAGAGGTCATTAGATGAGCAAAAATGTATACAGATCATTTTGCAGTTTGTATTTGTGTCTGACTGCAACAAGTTCAGTTCAGTCTACTCTCACCTAAATAGCACACAAACTAATACAGTAATCAGATTTCTACTTGAACTTCTTTCAGAGGACAGCACATTAACTGTTTAAATACTTACTAATTTCTATAAAGAGTTCATTAATGTTTATTGCATTTTTCGCACTTGTCTCTACAAATATTGCATGAATGGAATCTGCATAGTCTTTAGCATCTTTTTCCATGACTTCTCTGGAAAAACAAAGCAAAGAAAAAACTGTGAATGCAAAAACCATCCCCCCTCCCCCATTATTCAAAATCTTAAGGGATAGATTAATCTTTTAAGTGTCTCATTAAAAAAGTATTACGTATTTTACCTGTTTGGCTTCGCAGTGCTCCCTCATCCTGAAGCTGATGCTCATTCTTTACTCTATGCTGTCTCCCTGCCTTGAGGTATGAGCATCACTGAAGCACAATCATACACTAAACAAAGTCTTAATCCATCTGACAACATTAGTGGAGTTTGTTTCTTGAGTGCTCTAAATGTAGGTCTGCAATCAATCATTAGGGGGTGCTTTATCCTTCACACACAGAACAGTTTTAGATGTATTGGAAAGATCCTAAAGCATTAGTTCCACTAATCCAGTGGATTTCCTACAGCTGTTGACAAAACCAAGCATCTCACAACACTGCAGAGATCATTAGTATGGCATTTACTTTAAGTGAAGCATGAAGACATCACTATAAGCAGACACACACTTAGACTGAGCATACAACAACAGAGCAAATAAGTGAAAAAGTTATTCTGTACCTAAATTGATAATTAAGTATATTTCCTTAAACAATGTGGAAAAAAAACCCAAACTCCAATAGGTGGAGAGAGGACTGCACTATATATTGTATCATTTTACATACAAATTCTAGAAAACATAGTTTAGTAACAAGGGACTTAAGATACCAAAAGCAGAGAGTTTGGATCAGTGACTCAAATATTGCCTCTGACTAAAGCACAAGGAATCCTGCTCATTAGCTTGAATAGCAACGTTCACATAATTTATGATGCCACCTAAGCACCAAGAAATGAGCGTGTCAGAGTTAATACTGCATGCCTTATATTTATCTTCTAAGTAATTTTATGCCATATTTCCTTCAAGACACATGCTACTTGTAACAAAAGTTATTAGAGCTCACTAGATAACTGCTATATATTAACAATTTGTAAAACTATACTAAGAACCAATTTTGCAGTGGTTCTTTAAACACATAACCATCTGTCTCCTTTGAGACACCAGCTGGGGTACCTCTTCCAATGAAATCTAAAAACAAGAAGTTTGCACGCACCTTCCTTCTGAATTTTGGTTTATTTAACCAGGACATCAATAAAAAAAGGGACTCTCTTGTTTTTAGTACATGCCTTATTTAAAGTTTGGCTGTTCATAAAGTTTCTCAAGAATTCTTCCCACTCCCTGCAACTATTTCAGCCAATTCCATCCCAATATTTAAGCAGAGAAGGAAGGCACCTGAACAAGCAAGTCAGAAAAACCTACACAATGCTTTCCAACAGAGTTGCTGTTTTTCCTGACAAAATGAGGTGCTACAAACTGACAGGGTGGCTTCTTATAAAGTGAGGTAAACAGCTTGTATTACACTGTAGTTTCACAGGCAGTTCAGGCTTGTGTAACTTGGCACTGCCACCAGAAAAAGTAATCCTGTCTCCCTGTAAACTGCTCATTCCTAACCCTGCTATCCCACCTCTGCCATGCCAGCGAGTGTTCATGGTGTGAGCAAGAGAAACACACTTGGATCAGTTTTCCTTCTTTTTTTTTATTGGCTAGTTTTACTCTGGATCCATTTTACAGCCTGATTTACTGCCCAATCACACATACTCACACCAACACAGGGGAGGAAGTGGACAAGACAATCCAAGGGCAGACCAACCAAATCTTCTGACAGTAGAAACACCTCAGACCCCCTGTGAAACTACAATGGTAGTGCAAAACAGCTTAAATTGCTCTATACCTTTCACCTGCTCAGAAATCTTAGAATATTTAGCACTATGAGCTTAAGTGAAAACCTCCAAACTGTCAACAGTTATTTACCTTACATCATTAAGATCACACTTATTTCCTGCAATAGCTACAACAATATTTGGAGGTCCATGCTGTCGAAGCTCTTTAACCCAGTTCTTTAATGTTGAGAAAGTTTCCTGATGTGGGGAAAAAAAGAACAAAACAAAACACAAAAACAGAAGAAATTAAGAGTCAGAACTGGCCCATGACACAAATAAACCCAGAAATTGTAATGCTGGGTCAAGATCAACTTTCTTACCTCTTTTGTGATGTCATACACTATAATGGCTGCTGCTGACCCTCTGTAATACATTGGGGCTAAAGCACGAAACTGGAAGAAAGAGCATACATTAGGAATCTGACCTTCCACAGGCATCCACAAATTCCTAATTATTATTATTATTATTGAAAAAAGTGAAAACTAGCTTTAAAGTTCACATTAGTGGAAAACTTTTCATTACAATTACAGAAAGGCTGCGCAGTAGAGCACATAAACTTCCATGAAAGTATTGTTTTACAAAGGCCAATCAATAGTTTAGGGATCAGCAGCACATCTGCTGCAAAACACAGGAAGCCAAACTTGACCTTATTTTGACTAGATTAGAGTCTCTCATTTGAAAGACTGTAGATTATACAGAGACACAAACCTGCAGGATATGTGATCAACTTTAAACACCGAGCAAGGGGAAAACACTCAAAATTGAACTTGCTTCTTTCTCTTTAAGACAATCGTGCTTTTGGACAAAAAGTAATTTCAAGAAAACCAGTATGTATTACTGCTGATCTGAAATGTTCAGAAGTTGGTGTCAACCTCTAGCCCCATGGATCAGTCATGGCACTCTTATATGCTAGAAATGTTGGCTTCTTCGTAATCCAATTTATGGCTTTAGGGGATTTTGCTCAAGTTTCTCCTCAAAATTCAAAATTTAGAAGCATGTTTAAAACTGAAAACTGCAGTTGCAGGGTACAAACTAGCCCTGTACCTTTGCATGAGCACTCTGTTATGAATCCAGGACTGAAAAAAAGTGACATGATTAAGTCACATCAAAAGTATCAATCGAGTGTTCCTAAAAACAGTGTAATATTCTGCTAATTTAAAAAGAACCAGACAACTAATCTAGCAACCAAAACTCTCAGTCAAAGCACACAGTAAACTGCATACACTGCTTTGATGTAAGCATGTGTGATTTAGAGCTTTTGTGCATCTTTACTCAGGGTAAAAATCATGAATAGAATACAGTTTTTCATAAAGGCTTATTTGGTTCTAATAAAATACCAATTTCCTTTTGCTTAGTATAGTTCAACTGAGAGCAATATTATAAATCATAAAAATCTTGCTATAAAGCAGAATTCCAGACCATTTACATTTGGCTCTCAAATTCTTGTTTTGAAAATAGGATTTTGAACACAAAGTTCAGAATATAAAAATATTTAACAGTGGGAAAGGGAAACCTGGGCAGGCATTCAGTTCGTGTTGGGACATAATCCCTTTCTTCCTCCTAAGTACTAAAATGTAAAGGGAAACATATTTGGTAAACCACCACTTGGACTGGTTGCAACCTGGCTTTTTGATTATTTTACTATTTACATTGGGAATAAACCAACTTTCACTTGCTGATTTTGTATTACTCTCATTTCCTGCCTGCTAACACTTAGATACTTTTTTCCACCTAAGAGTAGTCAGCAGATAAAATATATTAACAAAACAGATGTTACCAGAAACACTGAATTTTCCTTTCGCTGTTTTTCCAAAGACTCCAGCTTGCCTCCAGCCTCTGATTTGTGTTTTAACAGGACATAATGTTTTAAGAGGACATAATGTAACTATCCAGAGAAACTGTCACAATTGATAGGTAAGAAGGCAAAAATCTTAATTACTGTAAGTAATCTATCAACTTTACTCAGTGTAGCAGAACCAAGAGGAAAAAATAGGGCATTCACGTGTAGGGAAATGAGCTATGTGAAGTGAATTCATGCACATTTCCACCTCTGGAGTCAAGCTGGCCAGCCACTCCCTGAAGCCATTTAGAACAAGGGGTTGCCCAGTGCAGTGCAGGGCTGGGCAAGCTGCTGGGATTTTGAAGCAGGAAATAGCAAATGCTCCCGAAGAAGCCAGGACTGTGAATTTTGCGCATTACATGTCATAGCTCAGCAGAGACACTTCAGTTCCGAGAATGGCGTGGACATTTTTGATACTCCAGATGGCCACGGGTGGGATACCTTCCATAATTCATTGTCAGATATGTTGTGTGACCAGAAAACTGTGCTACAGATTTCAGCGCAAGGCAGGTACACAGACCATTTGTGACTAGCAGCAAGTGATAGTGCTGTTCTGTTTTGGAGAAAGAAACATCTATGAAGATACTGGCATAATTTCAAAGTAAATATCCTTGCTCCTATATTTCATTGGTTTCCTTGGATATATTGGGGCCTCACAGTGACTCCTCTCAAGTGTGGAACATAAGCTTCACAGATCTCACAGCTCTTAGGACACAGCCCAGGTAAGAAATCTTTCCTTTTTTCATTTCAAAAAGGATATCGTGCAACTTGTATGGAAGAAAATTAGAGCTATCACTCAAAGTCTAAAAACAGAAAGACAAGGAACATGCTAGTCATGTACAGATATGCTCCCTCAGATTGTAGCACGCTGAATCCAAATTAGGGCGTTCTCCCATTGCTTGCAAACACAGCTAAAGTGAACAGGACGGAATGCTAATATGCAATGGATGTTTCCTGCCAAGCTGGGGCAGGCATGTTTATAAAGCATTCCATTTAAGAGTACCAGCCTCTGAAAACTCATACTCTCCCTCTCAGAAGACTCACGTTCCAGCATTAACATTTCAGAATGGGCTAGGATGTTCACTTAAGACAAAGTATTTATGGCAAATGCTGACTGACCGCTAGTAATGGAAAGATTCAGATATTTCTGATAACACACATACTATTGGACATATCCCTGGGACACAGCCCTGACAACGTAAGTTTGCTTTATATGATGGTGCTGCTGGAAGGAAGTAAATTGTCATTCAAAATCTAGAGCACTGAAATGCAATACAAATATATTTGAGTTACTTTCTAGCCATCAAGGCTGTCTTCAAGCTAAAAAGCTAGCAGTTCAGTTCTACTAGGACTCCAAAAGCTCAAGTGACTCTGCACAGGGATGACTGAGCCTTTATAAGTTGTTGGGGTTTTTTGTTTTTGGTGGTGGTGGAGGGTTTGTTTTGTTTTATTCAGGGATTTTTTTTTTTTTTTGCTTAGGCTCTCTGAGCCCTAAAATAGGCATATGATTTCTCGAGCCAGTCCTGAAAAAAGCACAGCTGCATTTAGCTAGTTATTATCCTAAAGTAATAACCCAGCCTGATCAAACTGACTCTTACTGAGGACAGCTCTGGTGCCTACCTCTGTTATGGTTAGCTCACATCCTAAATAAACTCATCATGAGTAACTGACAGTTGCCAGTAGTTAACACTCAAGAAACTGCAAGAATAATCACTGCTAATAAGCTACTATAATTTATACCACTGTTTCTAGTAATCCATAAACAAGTGAGTTAACTAGCAAAGTTTTCCTTTCAAATTCTATGTAAAAATCATGCAAATTAATTGTGATTTAATTTGACTAGTCATTTTCTTGAAAGCTTTTGTTGCCTCACCTCAGAACCATGCATGCTGCAGAGATCAAAACCCCAAACTATCAAATTAAAATTTAAATTTCAAAATAGATTTCTTGACACAGCTTCTAACACTATCAGATTTGAGAAGTAAAACTTTACAAAATAATAAAAGATCACTTATCACCCATAACATTGCTTGAAAAACTGCTTTTGAAAGCCTAAACTCACATCTTGGGAATTGTCCTTAACTTTGTACTATAACCCTGATAACGATGAAAAATAAAAACATATTTACAGCACTCATGTATTGATTGAAACCTGAACAGAAACAAATGTTCTAATAGATGTTTGTAAAACCAGATCACATTGTGACTTTGAGGGTCAGGCTTGAAAAGCAACCCAAACTCTAGCCAGAACTATCACCAGAGATACTGATTCTACTTACCCGCTCCTGTCCAGCCGTATCCCAAATTAGGAATTTATGCAGCTCATTTTGATACTGTACAGTCTTGGTCATAAATGAGGCTCTGGAAAAGAATTACAGCTTATGCTTTTCAGAATATAAGTATGTTCTTAGAACATTGCCACCATTAACTTTTAAAAAGGTTTTACATTCCAATAAAAGTGCTTTCCCCACACGCACAAAACTGATGAAGATTTTCATACATAAAGGCTGAAGTTAATGAGGTAAAGGGCCTCAGAGGATGAAATTTCCTTTCAGAGAATGAAGTTCAACTAACAAAACAGAAGGAACATGAATGTAAATTATAAGCTTTTATTGTTCGTAAGCTTTTGATAAAAAAGGATGTATGACAAAAAGAATCAGAAAGGTCAGCCCTTTTAACAACATTCTTCCTAAATGGAGGACTTATTACAACAAATCACTTAAGTGTATGACAGATGGGAAAGAGATCAAATCCTTCCCTTTTGTATCAGCTTTTTCTGCCTCTGTACCAACATTCAGCTAAAGGCTGGTAAGTCCATCCTTGGGAGTAAAATATGGGAGATCCATACCACTCTCAGTAGGTGTTAAGAGGACAGAGAATAATGACTAACTTGCTTGTTGTCTGCACTCTGTACAGCTCCAAGATCCTGTCATTATATACTCCAACCTGCAGAGGCTCTTGCACTTCTAGAAGACAAACAAGAAAATCTCTTCCTATGCTCCAGTTGACCCTCCCAACTTCTAGATGCTTTACAGTAAAACACTGCAAAATATTGTAAAGTACATTTGTGCTTTACTTGATCTGCTTTACACAAATCAGTGTATTTCCCACAAGAAGGGGAATTCAGAGACCTAACCTTTTACAAGAGGGAGTTCTTTGCTAGATCTATTACCCATGGGCACATTTTTTACTAGAAAAGCCACACACTGAATTTGAATCCTTGTAGAATAGGAACTATAGATGTCATAATTATTTTAAGCACCTGAAACCCTATGTTAGGATCTTGAACACCTTTTGTATGTTTAGTTCCTGTCACTTGAAAATACTGCAGATTTCCAAACTTGTTCTACTGCCAGTTTTCTGCAGGGTGTAGGACAGGATCCTGGGGGTGGCCTGTACTGGAGCTTCTTACAGCATACAACACTTGCTTTGGATTCCAAGTCAGAGAGCAAGAGTCTTTCAGCATCATCAACAATATTAAATACCCGAGTCCAAGACCCTGAACTTCAGTTTATTTTGGATCTTAATTACCACTAGGACACAGATTTTGATGATGTGCATGACACTTTTGTAGTTAACATAACCAGAGTCTTTGGACACGTTTCAATGTTATAGGAAGACAGAACAGCTACCTACATTTTTAAAAATTGAGCAATTACACAATGCTTTCAACTGCTAAGAGGTAACCTCCTTCCCATTCCTTAAGCTCAGATGGTTTGCCAAATAGTATATCATCCTCCAAAGCTGATCACTCTCTTAAATATAAGGTTGCAGCATCCCTAAAAAGAAAGAATCTAACTGCAATTCATTTCAGTAGTTAACTAGATGATGTATTTTAGCAATGAGTAATGGAAAATAAGTGAAAGGAGTATCTTTCCCTTATCTTTGCTGTCGTAAAGCACAACAAAGACTTCCACTTCCTTAAGACTGCTGCAAGTTGAACATGAGCCAACAGCATGCCCTGGCAGCCAAGAGGGCCAACCGTGTCCTGGGTGCATCCAGCGCTGTACTGCGAGCTGGGCCAGGGAGGGGATCGTCCCGCTCTGCTCTGCACTGGGGCGGCCTCACCTCCAGCACTGGGGGCAGTTTGGGCACCACGGGAGAAAAAGGGTCTAAAGCTGCTGGAGAGTGTCCAGAGGAAGGACATTAAATTGGAGAAGGGTTTAGAGGAGAAGCTGTACAAGGAGAGGCTGAAGTCACTTGGTTTGTTCAGCCTGGAGAAGAGGAGACTTAGAGGAGATCTCATGACAGTCTAGAACTTCCTCCCAGGGGAAGAGGAGGGGCAGGTGCTGATCTCTTCTCTCTGGCCACCAGCGCCAGGAGCAGAGGGAATGGCAGGAAGACATGCCAGGGCAGGGTGAGGTTGGCTGTTGAGGAAAAGGTTCTTGAGGCACCCAGAGGGTGGTGGAGCACTGGAACAGGCTCCCCAGGGAGGTGCTCATGGCAGCAAGCCTGACAAGATTCCAGAAGCATTTGGACAACGTCATCAGACACATGGTCTGAATGTTGGGATTGTCCTGTGCAGGGACAGGAGTTGGACTGGATGATCCTTGTGGGTCCCTTCCAACTCACAACCTTCTATGAAATTAAGGATCAATTCTTAATTTTCTGGCCAATATCGAAACAGTTTCCTAAATCATAGATTCTCACTGAAAATTTATCTTTCTAGGTCCATAAACCAAAGCATTCCTGTAACCATCAATTTGAACTGAACAGCTGTGTTATTCTAATTCACATCACAACTAAATATCCCAAATGGTAGCTGACAATACAGGTTAAATGCTTCTTGCAATTCTTTGACAAGTAGAAGCTTTCATTGTGACAAATGTCAATTAAAAAAAAAGCCAACAAAAAAAACAAACCCAAACCAAACAGCTCAAAGACAAACTACTTCTGGGTCAACAAAAACTTCCAACGAAAGCTAATGACTTCTAGTACAGCAACAGGCACCATCCCTACTAAATTTCCCAGCCAAGTAAGCACTGTAACTAAGTGAACAAGATGCACCTGAGAGTAGTTTGTATACTTACTCATAATTTCTTTTTCATGCTACAATAAAAGACTAGATATTCTGTGATACCTAGATAAATATGCTGGTCAGGCAAAGCAGAATGTGTCCTCAGCGTCCTGAGAGGACAAAAGTTGCAGAATTCTGACAAGGTTTCTACAGCTGCCCACATTTAAACTTGAATGATGAACACTCATGACAACAAAGTATGATTGCTCAGATAATTCTAAGAGGAATAGAAACAGAAGAGGACACATAAAATCGTATCTCATGAACTCAAAATCCCGGGAGTAGACATAGAAACATTCTCAGGTTTAATTTTGTAAGATGCTCAAAAACTCCTCTCTAATCCCTACTTTGTTCTTCCCACCTCCTAATCTCAATTAGGAAATAAAAACAAGGTCTAAAAAAAGTTTCAAAGTGAATTTGCTTAAAATTTTGGGACTGTATGGTATTGGAGCTTCACATAATCCCTGCATTTGGGCAAATTTTGATTCATTTATACCAGTATAGCAAACTACTGAGATACCAAGTGCTCAGACTAATGAGTGATTTTGTTAAGACTGCTAAAACACACAAATTTTTAGACTGTCACTTCAAGAAGGAAAATGAATCCCAGCACTGTCACTAAACCCATGAAGATAAATTCTGTTCTACAAACTAGCATCAGTGCCACAATGGTTAGCATCTTCTAACAGCACCTTAAATTACTACACAGTATCTTTTACAGACATTCCCCTGGGAAGACATGTGGGTGCCATCTCTTTGGGTTCCTGCCTTCAGACAGATAGGTGCTACACCAGAGGGAGGAGAAAAAAAGAAACCAACTCACATGCCACAGAGCCAGAAAACTACCAGATTAAAAGAAACTGACTTTGGAGGGAAGACAATAGGATTTGATTAATTTCATTCCAGTCTCAGCCCTTCCCTGGGAAGAAAGAAAAAAACAAACAACAAAACCCTCTCCTGAGTTTTCTCCAGATTACAGAAAATTCTACTTTGCCAGGACAGAAGCCTCACAAACCACAGTCTTCGCTCCAGAGCTATAGCCAGTCTTGTAGACACGCAGAGCCACCAAGCACAGTATTTTAAAATTCAGAATCTGAAAGCAGACTTGAGGAGGCTGCAGTTCACATGTGATCAGAGACATAATGCAAATTCCATACTGGGTTACACAAACATTTAACTCACATTGTCTAGATGTGCGGTGACATACGTCAAACTATAGAACAGAGCAACCTGACCAAATAAACAGGCACCTCATGTTTGCAAAACTACATCTGTGTTACCTGGTCACCTACTAATTAAGCAGACTTTAATATACTATCCCTCTTAGCCAACTATTTAACAGACTGGTTTGAAACGTATCAGGATGTCTAGGAATGAAGATGGATAACCAATTTCTCAAACACCTCAGGTAATAATAAAACTGGATCCTTCAATAGCATCCACCTGAAGAAGTTTTGCTTGCAGTTGATATCACTGTGGGCAGTAAAGGTCTGAACTTTCTACACAACTTGAACTTAAATGTTTAAGACAGCCTGTTCCCCTACTTAAGCAAACAGCAATACGACTGCTGTCTACATATCACTTTCATGGTTCTCCAGAAAAGAACCTCTACTGTAGCCAATTCAACAGTAACTAAGAATGTTCAGCCCTTGAAGATCTAAGAAAACTACTTAGCAATCTGTCTTAAAAGCTACCTTGTTAACAGAGAAATCAAAATAAAAGTATACTTCCTACAGAATATCCTGCAATCCAATACTAGTATTTACACTCAAAAAAAGAGGTAGGGGTGTAGGGGGGAGGAGAGAGAAGTATCAAGGGAACCACACTTTTTTAGAAGGGCAGGATGAGACACAGCTGATCTTTATCAGCAGGACCTTTTCTGGTCAAAGCTGTAGCAGAGAGCCTGTGTGACACCTGAGACAGGAAGTTGCACTGACATCCCCCTGCCACACACTTCTCAGCATCAGAGTAAGTCATGTCCTGTAAGCAACGAATTGCTTCTGAGCAAAGCAGCTCATAAGAAACTTGCAAAACCAAAAGAGATAGCAAAAGAAATAAAAAGATCTAACCACTCCAATAATTCCTGATGCTCGCCCTTCCTTCTATCCATTTGAAGATTTGAGCTCAGTAACACTGCTATAGAGAGACTCAACTTTCAAGTATCATTACCTGTGAGACCAATTGCATTAAAAATTTCATCAGTCGCTTATGAGTGCGTGTACTGCACCTAGATGTGTAACATTAGAATTAATTAATAAAGAGAAATGCAACCTGAAATAGCATGTTAACTACCTTCAAAAACCTAGGAGACTTGTTACTGTACTTGACTCTTTAAAAAAAAAGATCAATCATGTAGTTGCATAATAATTAAGACTTTGAAATTTCAGAGAAGTGCATGAGAAAAGCGTGTTGTTCCTTTAACAGAAGTATCTGTAGTGTAATTTATTCATAACCCAGGACTCTTAGCGGGACTTTGTTAGATTAGATTAACAACACAAAATGGGTCCAGATCTTACACATGGAAATGGAAGCTGCAGGAGTGCCGAGTACACTCCTACATTTCCTAAGGTAGCTCATAACTAATTAAGGCTGCAGTCATGTTGATTACCACATTTAGCTGCCACACACAGAGAATCCTCAAGTGATCTATTCAGGAGGTGCAAATACATATTCATACGATTTGGTTTTATTCTTGAATACGTCACATTTACTTTATTTAGTTTCTTACCCTATTGTTGGGTTAATGTTGGGATCAAAGCTATCTTCTACAAATCTCCACACAATACTTGATTTACCCACACCTGTGTCCTAAAAAAAGAACAGAAATAGTTGAAAGAGACATCAGTCACTATAAACTAATGGATTATTCTTTTTGTCCTCAAATCTTGCAATCCATTGTGCACGAATAACACGTTTCTGCAGAGAATCTCAGAAAAGTTAGATTCTGAAATACTTCAGGTATATTTGTCTAGTAGAAAAATAAAAGGTCTCTGATAAATTACAGTTTTCCAAACAAAACGGTTATGATGTTTTTATGGAGGACCATAAAAATCTGCATTTTCGCTTATTATCAGTAATTAAAACTTTTTTTTTTTTTCTCTCCAAAGCTATAAACAAATTACATTGGAACAGGAGTAGGAAAAGCCCATCTACCACTTTTAGTAAAATATGCAGCAATTGAGTATGGTACTCCATCTTTACAAGCCAATGGAGCACATTGAATTATACAAGTGTGACACACACATTTCAACCTCTGACTAATGCTGTCCCACCCTGCTTAATGAAAGACTTGAAATTTCTTCTGTGACACACCTGAAGCGTGTTTCTAATGCAATTCTACAGACCTATAAATGGTAAAAGGGGAAACGTAACATGAAAATTCTGGGTCATATTTTCACCACTGACTCCACAGTCAAAAAGAAAAGATATATAGAAAGTGTATTTAAGAGAGAAATAACAAACTATTAGCAGTAAAACTGTCCTCAGTAACAGCTGGACGTTTTAAATGGTCATTTAATTAAGACAAGTGAAGACAAACTTTTTGCTTTACATCTCAAGATTCATTAAAACTTTAAGGAAAAAAAAACAACCCTGAGGAACTGCTTCATTGAAAAATGAAGTTTTACGCCACTCATGCATTTTCTTGAAATCTTCTGAATATTGTAGTAAATTTGGGTACAGTACGTATGGTTGTGTTTATACAATCAAGCTGTTTTCCGCTCAAGGAAAAGCGTATTACCTCAGTTCTGTATTTTATAATGTCTGTAGTCTCAATAAGCAGAGCACATCTTAAAAATATAAATATAAACGCAGTTGCTGGCTCAAGGAGTACAAGGACCAGTTTTCTGGGGTGCTTATTCTCCTTTTTTTACACAATCAAGGGTTTCTCAGGTTGGCTGAATGCAAACAGCAGGCAGTAGTTACCCCAAATACCTTCATAATACAAAGAGCATGGAAACACCTAGTTTTCCCTCTGAAGGGTAACGTGGCCATTTAGAAGCAGAAAACAATTCTGCCAGTCATAGTCTGTACAGCACAGGATTTAGATACAGGTGGAGACAACTCCACCTATTCAATGCGATGCTCTCCGCCAAAGCCCTCAGAGCAAACCAAGCCAACACACCGCTTCACAGCCTTCATTTTTAAAAAATTCTACTAAGGTTTGCTGGTGTCCCCTTTTTCCACCACCTGCAACACTCAGGGCACTTTGAAAGCCCACCTATGTTATTAAAAAAAAGTTCAGGCCCCTCCTCCTCTCCTGCTAGTTTGATTTCAGGTGCTTTTATTTATTTATTTTATGAACTCCAAGCCTGAAACCGCTTGCGAGGAAGAGGAAGGCATACACTGGGTGTTCGTGCTTCTCTCCTCTTTATTTTTTAAAGGAAAACACTGAAAAAAAAGGAGTGATATTTACCTCTGGAAAACGCCTGCCCCGGTGCAGGGGAAGGCCTTCCCGGCCGCCCGGTCTCCTCAGGGGGACGGGGCCGGACAGCCGGGGCGCGCCGGCAGCTCCAGTGGGGGCCAAGCCCACCCTTCGCCCGGGGAGAGGACCCCCACAGTCAGAGCCGTTCCAAGGCTCACACAGAGCCTCTCCACCGCCACCAGCCCCTCAGCAGGCTCC